TATCAGGCTTCCTTGGAAGTGCTTTATTGACACACCTGCATATTTTTGACATTGAATCAGAAGATGTGGTTTGGATTATCACCTCTAAAAAACAGTTTTAACAAGCCTGACTAAATGACAGTGGATCTGTGACAAGCTCGTTCTGTACTATGTATCTATCAGCAAAGGCTAAAACAGTGCATGACAAAACCTATCCTAAAATAACCCCTAAGATATCACCATGAAAAGATGAACACCTATTTCTCTGACATTACTGTAGAGTAAGGAAGGCAGCATTACCTAACACACGGAAGTGTTGCCCTAAATTCAAATGACTTTCAGTAGAAATGGCACTGTGCATAAAAACAGGTTTAGTAACATTTGTAGATAGAAGGTCATGCAGGGTGAAATGTTTCAGTTGCTAACAAAGGTCTCTATAGCAGTCTGACTGAACTCTGCTTGCCTTGTCCTGTTTCCAGCGTATGTTTGTTTTTGAAGTCATGCAATACAGTTTCAACATAGCGATCACATGAATCATCCCACCAGCAAAATATTAACAAAGAATTGATGAATTGCATTAAAGACTGGCATGAATTCAAAGGCTAAACAAGCAAAATTCATGTGAAGATAAATGTGATAGGCAGCCATTTTCCCCATAGCAATATGAGACATGTTGCACTTTCTCTTACTCTGTGTGCTTGTTGTTTTTCATCACAGTTAAAATCAGTGCAGTTTGGATCAACATTCTTTCTTAACTCTTTGTTGCCTTTAGAGAATGTATTCCTTCGTCTTGTAATGGTAAACGATCACAACAGCGTTATCCTCAGGACTCTATCCCAACCTCAGTCTGACTTTGAACACACAGTGATCATCAAAAAGCCATGAATGAGAATGTGTACATTCAGTTGTCTTCAGGTAAAGCAGTAAAGGTGCTTAAGGTTTTTCCATTTTAGTTCAGGAACTGCAGTTGTTAAAGCTATGTTTACAGCTGTACACTCCAGGTCCTGTGCAAATGATCCTCATTGCTGTGTTCCATTTTTGGCAAAAAAACAAAAAGTTTCCTCCTAAACAGTGCCTGTGTCCACTCCACACAACAAAAACCTATCCAGACAGAGAGTGTCATCCCAAAAACAAACACCAATTGCTCAGAATTCCTGTTTCTCTGGTATATATACACTCTCCCTGTCATGAAGAAGGTTGCTTTATAATGTTTCATACCCTCTGTCCCCTGGTTAATTGGGAGCATCTAAAATTCATATATTGTTACTGGCTCGACTGCTCCAAACATCAGGCCTGTGATCTGACAAACTCAACTGTCCATGAAGACACATGAGTACAATGTTATTCTTTGGTGATTATGCCCTCACTACCATCATAATATCACTGCTGCGTGGAATGCTACATAATGCCAACTAGGGAAGAAGGATTGTTTGATTAAGGTCTGACAGAGCTGCTTGCTAATTAGCCACATGCTATTTTCATCACGTTCCATAAAAAACAGTTAACGTTAGCAAGTGCATATCAGCTACATTAGCATCTTTACATCTTAACATCAATATTCCAGCCAAACCAAATGGATGAAAATGTTTCAGATTTTGGCAGCAAGCTAGCTATGACCTGGAGGTGCGACATTAGTTGTTACAAAGGATTTGGTCAAACATACATTCACAGGTAGAAATCTCCTGAAATCGAGGACGGTCTGAATATTTTTCCCCTACAGGTACATACTGCAGGGGTGTGCAAGCATTCATAAAAATTTCCATGCAAATTATTTGGGCCACAATCTGTGCTCTAAGGCAAAAAATCAGCAAGCCAGAAAGTGGGTGCTATGCTTCCATGACAATGCCGTTCCGATATCAGCAGTAACCATCGAATGAGCGCAATGCAGATTGGCAGCGATGAGCTAGCCAGTCAGCAACACTCACAAGAACTCAGATGCACCAACATGCATGCGCAGCTGTCACGGCTTACCACAGCAACCCACAGAGAAGCTCGGATTGCAACACACACGGAGGAAGCGCGATTTTCTTCTCTGCTCAGGACACCATCACTCCACATAGCAAATAACATACTGGAATTCTTGATGTAGGTGGTGCTCTGAATGTTGCATACAGCTCCTTGAAGCATTAAGTGTTTTAGCTAATTCCCTGTCCACCATCAACATTGCTTGCACGAGATAAGAAAATGTAAACATGTCCTTTAAACACCCAAAATAAAGTCAAGAATGATAGTCCAGTTGTATTCAGTAGAAAAAAACAAAACATATTTGACCAAACTGAGTGTACCACTGGCCAACTCCAAAATGAATGAACAGTTTTTCTTCGTCAGTGTTACATCTGTGACAAAGTAGAGCCTCTGCAGGTTTGTGTAACACGACTTATGAATAGTGGAAACTATTAATACCTCTAAAGTGTGATAATGTGTGCCTGATGCTAACGAAGTACTACTTGTGATATTTTCTCAGACACAGACATTCGTCTCCCTGACAGCACTGACGGATACAGAGTCTATAAAAAATCCT